TACTTTGACTTTCTGGATTTTGCTACCATGAAACCTTGTCTATTCTCTCACCCTCTCTCTGTGTCTCTCTGTCTCTGTCTTTCCCTCTTCCTCTCTCTCCCTCTCTCTTTTTCTGTATCTCTCTCTTTCTCTCAACTTCTCTATCACTGTCTCTCTTTCTCTCTTCCCTCCCTCACTCCCTACTCCCCATCTCTTTCTCTCTGTGTTGGGCATATAGTAAATGCTTAATAAAAGCTTCTCATGGGGCAGCTAGGTGACACAGTGGATAGAGCTTTGGTTTTGGAGTCAGGAGGACCTAAGTTCAAATCTGACCTCAGGCACTTGACATTTACTAGCTGTGTGACCCTGGCAAGTCACTTAAACTCGATTGCCTGACCAGAAAGAAAAAAAAAACCTTCTCATCTTGCATCACTTGCATGTCCTTCATGCCTGGAATTCTCTGCCCCTTCCTTCTACTTCTTAGTTTCTCCAACTCCTTTCAAGAGTCATCTAAATCCTACCTCCTTGCAGGACACCTGGGAAAAGCTGGGAGAAATCCCAGCTACTGATGCCTTTCCTCTGAGTTCCCCTTCCTTCTACTTTGCATATATCTCATATGTACTTAGTTATTTACAAGTTGTTTTCCCCATTTAAAAATTTAACCTCCTTAAAGAGAGGTACTATGCTTTTTTTGTTTGTTTGGTCTTTTTTGCATCCCTAGGACTTAGCCCAGTGCCTGACAGATAATTTATAAATGCTAGCTGATTGACTGACTGACTGGGTCTTTGGAATAAAGCAAGAAGAGATTCCTTACAATACAATTCAATTCAGCATTTATGAAGCACTTACTACATTCAAGCACACTAAATAGTCTCTGTCCCTGGTGTGTGTGGAGGTACCTGTGGGGGTAGGGGTGGGACATGGTACATACAGAAGTAAAAGGAAGATGATTTGAGGAATGAGGTGGCAGTGATAGTTGGGTGGAAAGAGTCAAGGAAGGCTTAATATAGGAGGTGGCATCTGGGCTGAAACTTGAAGGAAGCTAATGATTCCAAGAGGCAGAAGAAAGGAGGCAATGCATTCTAGGCAAGGGGAACTGCCTGTAGGAATGCACAGAAAGAAAATATGCAATATTATTCAGAAAACAAAGAGAAGGTCATTTGGACAGGAAAGTAGAATGCCTAGCAGCAGTTTATTGTTCAGTTGTTTTAGTCCTGTCTGACTCTTCCCGACCCCCTTTGGGGTTTTCTTAGCAAAGATACTGGAGTGGTTTGCATTTCTTTCTCCAGCTCATTTTACAGATTAGGAAACTGAGGCAAACAGGGCTAAGTGACTTGCCCAGGGTCACATAGCTAGTAAGTGTCTGAGGCCTGATTTTAATTCAGATCTTCCTAACTGAAGACATGACACTTCATCTGCTACGCCACCTAGCTGCCCTTATCAGTCTAGAATGGTTCGATTCCTAGACCTTGTTGGGATAATTTTGATGTGAGTTGTCAGGGATTTGGGTACAAAAAAATATGTTCAAGGGAATAAGGGCACTCTGGCCTTAAAATGTATTTCTAAGCCCCAAAACAGGGACTCCAAAGTCATTATAGAATCTTAAGAGTTGAAAGGAACCTCCAAGTTGACCAGTGGAGAGAAGGCTGAGGAAGGCAGCAGAGTACTATTTGCTAGAGAGTGGAAGAACTATGTATGGCCTCTCCCCCAGTGGCAGTGACTTAATAGACTTGGGGGAGGAAGACAAGCTGCTGGGCAGATGATTTGCCCTGCATTCCCACATTCTGAGGTCTCCCCCTTATCCTGAACTGGAATAGGATTGCAGGAAGGAGGACACCATCCTGCTATAGGTCAAAGTGGAACAGAAGCTCAAGCCAGAGGGTGATGGAAAGAAACATATGGGAAGGAGAGATCATGACCCTTCTTTTTCAGGAAGAAGCTGAATGTCTCCCTCCACTATTTTTTCTCCTTGGTCCTGTTTGACCCCAATAGGGCGACTGAGAGGAAGCCCAAGTTTAGATGCTAGATTCTTCCCACAAATGTTTCATTTTTGTCTTAAGTTTTATCCTGTGGTAAAGTTTGGTGGCCAACAAAAAATTCCAGGTTGTTTGATGTATCAATTAATGTATAGATAGCTATAAAAAGAAGAGGAATTCTCCCTTTCATGCCTAGATCAAAGACATTTTTGCCCAGTAAGGCTGGGCTGAGGCTGGAGTTTTACAAAGGCGAAGAGGGGTCAGTGTTATCTTTCTATAAGCCCTGTAAAAAAAAAGTAACAAATACAGAAAGATAGAACACTGGACCTATTTTTTTTCTTTCCATTTGTCAGTGAGCCAGAAGCAGTATAATGTGGGAAAGAGAAAAGCCATTGCTTCTGTGGTTTAAGAAGCTCAGAATTGCTGGCTTCTTCATTTGCTTCAAAAGTACAACCTTGAGGGGAGAGGGGAGGGGGAGGATTCTGTGCAGGTACAGTACCCCAGCTGGAGGGTATCAAGTGTGTCACTATCCTGGTGATGCTACCTGTGTAAAAACATGGCAATGCTACCAGTGTCCAAACTTACTTCTGCTGCCTTAGTTAGATCACCAAAGGGGTTAAACTAAAAGGGGAAGAATAACAAAGGACAGCAGTGCTGAGAACTGGGCTATAGGAAGAAAAGTGATAATGGTCCCAAGAGCTGAGGATAGGAGATAGAAGTACAGAACCTCTGAGGCACAAGCGTTACCTGATGGGAGATGATGGGAACTATCAGAAGCAGAGTATGATAGTAAGCAGCAAACACTATCTCCCAGTTTGCTGAAGCCCCATCCAGGGTAGTACTGTAAGTGATGAAGACCATACAGATCTATGAAGGGAAGATTGCCAGCTATGGGGATGGGCCTCTGCTCACTCTCTGTGGGCTCAGATAAGAGTCCTTTCTCTTTTCCATATAAATAAAATAGTTTTGTAATTTGAACTTTGTGAGACTAAGTGCTTATAAGGTGAGCCGGTGGCTATCCTTGGAGCTAGTGTACAGATACTGACTTTCCCCGTTTCTGTCTGGGTGAGGGCAGTGTTACAGAATTGAAAGTTCCTAAAAGCATACTTATGCCCTTTTAGTCCAAAGGGAGCCCTTGACAATGATTATGTACAGACGAGGAAGCTAAGGTTATACAAGTAGTAAGCAGCAGTGAAACTGGCATTTGAACTCTGGCCCTCTTGACTTCAAACTGAGGGCTCTTTTCACTGTGCTACAAGCATTTTCATAAAGCAAGCCTTTCTCCCAGCTTAATACTATTCTTAGTCAATGAGGGTGAACTATGAACGTTGTAAGGTCCCACTTTACTAAGTTTACTAAGCATTCTTTTTTGTCTCTAAGGAGAGCCTCTTCCTATGGTGGAAGGGAATTTGCAGACCCTCGTATTTGTCAGACCTGGGTTAGACCCAGACCCAGAACAGACCTCTGGCATGGAAAGAGAGATGGGTGAAAAGAAGGGAAGGGGGCTTGGGGAAAGGGCTGGATGGGGTCATGAAGAATAGGAATGATAATGCCAGGGAAAACTGAAAGGGGAGGCAGGACTGGCCTTAGATACAGGTGGAGCAGATGGCCATAAACTTTAGATAGGAAAAGAACCTTAGAGATAAAAGAATCCAGACCCTTCATTTTAAAGGTGAAGAACACACCCAAAGAGCTAACATGAATTACCCAGGGCCACACAAGTAGTAAATAGCAAAGCTAGGATTTAAACCCAGGGCTACTGACCTCAGATCCTGTTCATTTTTACCCTTCTAGGAAATTATTCTAATCACTCTTCCCTCCACCCCCATTGATGCCATGTTACCAGTTATTGAGATGGCAAATAGCACTCTTAAAACTTTTGCCAGATGGATTTCAGGGAAATGGCAGCAGTGGCCTGAAACGCTGGAAACTTCCTAGCTGGATGGCAGGCTGCGAACATTAGAGTTGGAGAATCATCTACCCATCTACCCTCTTCCCTCACTTTACAAATGAGGAAACTGAGGTTCAGTTATTCCCATTCTTTTTCCATTCCAGCCAAAGTGACAGCAACACTTCTCTTTCTTCTCAAATTCCATCAAAATCTCAAAAGACACAGCTGCAGATTTTTTTAGTTTTGGTTTTAAAATATGATCCCCTGGGGAAGGGGGGTGGGAGGAGGGGGCGAGGGAGAAAAAGAGGAGAAAAAAAAGAAAATTAAGTTGGTAACTATGGACCTAGTGTCGGGCCTCTCTGGCATATTTGAAAGCATAGTGATTTCTCTTGCCTGGGTGTCAATCTAGCCCATTAATCATCATATACAGTTTTTCTAAAAGCTATTTTGAGAAACATTTAGAAAATGGCTTTTATATAGCTATATATATTGTGTTTATATCCCCTAGAAATGGTCTCTGTTTTAGAAGCAGATGGCTTTTCTTCCCTCCTTTCTCTTCCTTTTTTGTTTCTTTCTCTTTCTTTCCTTCCTTCCTTCCTTCCTTCCTTCCTTCCTTCCTTCCTTCCTTCCTTCTTTCTTCTTTCTTTCTTTCTTTCTTTCTTTCTTTCTTTCTTTCTTTCTTTCTTTCTTTCTTTCTTTCTTTCTTTCTTCCTTCCTTCTTTCCTTACTTCCTTCCTTTCCTCCCCTTTCTTTCTTCCTTTTGATTTTCATCTCTTTCATCTACATTGGGTACCAAATACGCTCACTTTCCTAACTCCTGATGCAGTATAACTGCCCACCATCTAGCTTGGTGAGGGTAGGAGCGGGAAGGTGAAGGTTTGGTGGTGTGGCCACAGGTCCTTTGTAAGGCACACTTCCAAGGAAACTGAAGGTGAACAATCAGAATGAGCAGGTGGCCCAAAGCAATAGTTCAGATGCTGCCTCTTTCATCCTGCGTCAGTGCAAGGGGTCTAGCCTATGCCCTGCTGCTACACAAGGAACTGGAGGGTCTTGAGATACCATCTAGTCCCACCTCCTTTTATTATAAATGAAGAGTTCCAACACCTTTTTTAGTCAAGGCAGCCTGGAGAAGTCTGGGAATATGAGTGCTCTGGTCTTGGTATTTTCATGAGAAATCTTTATTGAGTTGAAGTAATTTAAACACAGCTAAATAAGATCAAGTCTCAGGAAATGCTTACAGAGACAGTTTAGTTACCAGAAAATGTGCCTTGATATAGTCCCTGAGGAGGACTCAGGTTGCTATCCAATAAGCAGCAAATCTCTCCTATAAAAAAATGCCAGGGCCATTATGATGCTGAGGATGTCCTGGGCTAGGGAAGAAGAGGGGAGATGGAGAAAGGCACATAGTGACCTTTGTCAAGCCTATTCCTCCACTCTTCATCCACACCCCCTTCTTCACCACAGGAAACCTGGCTTTAAATGGACATCTGGGCTTGAGGGAGAGGAGAGGGGGAAATGGACCCCTAGTGTCTAATAGTGGCTTCCACGAGATCAGGCTGTCCCAAAAAGGAGGAATGAGTCATCAAAATGAATCAAACTCTGGCCATATGTTGGCAGGTGGCTTCAACAAAGAACCTGTACTCCGGATCTAATGTGGGACCTGTCATGATCTCAAAGCACAGTTTGTGTACTCTACTGCTGGCCACAGCAGGACTTCTTGGGTTGATGGTGAACCTGGATGATATTCTCTCTCACAGTATCTTCTTGTTCCTTGAGGATCCTGGGAAAGGAAGAAGATGAGTCATTAGTTAGAGAGGAACAACCTCCAGATGAGTCATGGTAAAGGGTAGAGGTAGGCAGTGCAAGTATTATTTATCTCCATCTGAGAGACCAGGAAACTGAGGTTTACAGAGAAGAGATGACTCGCCTGTAGCCATAGAGCTAGTAAGTAGCAGTTACTATTCGATCTATGATTACAATGTTAGCCAGTGGGCTGAGCCACAGGATAATATGCGAGGTGAGTGCCAGAGACTTTAAAGTAATAGTAGTGGTATCTTATAGTCCTATAAAGCATTATACTTTTCAATGTGAGCTCCTTCAAAGCATGGACTGTCTTACCCTTCTAGTCATATCCCCAGCACTTAGCACAGTGCTTTGAATATAGTAAGCTATTAATAAATGCTTTGTTCATTCATTAAATGGTTCATTTCATTCTTTTTAAATTTTTTTTAAATTTTATCTATGTTTTTACATCATTTAAATTTCTCTTGTATCCCTCTCCCTCCCAGAGAGCTACCTCTTATAATAAAGAATTATTTTAAGAGGAAAAAGAGGAAGAGAAAAAAAGTTAATTTTAATTTAATTTTTAATTTATGGGATAAAACAAACATTTCCATAACACAGTATAATAATAAAAATATTGCACATAAAACCACAATAATAAGAAGAATGAGAAAAAATTTGTAAAGCCAATTAATACCTTTTAAAAAAAATTAATGATACATGCAATGTACTACATTTGTGGACTCTAGCTTGTGCAAAGGAGGGGGAGGAGATGTCTTCTCAGGTCATTGCTTTCTTATGACAATATTGAGACTTCGGCAAGGGAGATGTCATTGTCATCTCCATTTTACAGATGTGGAAACTGAGGCTCAGATAGGTTAAGGGGCATGGCCAAGCTTTTGTAATGAGTCATTAGGTAGCTGAGACTAGCTAAGACTACATCCCTGTCTCCTAGTTCAGTATTCTTCCCACTGATACTAACTCTCCACTGGATGCACTAAGTAATTGTTAGTATGAGAGTATTTTTAGAAGGTCTTTAAGACCTTAGGAATGGAGCCTAGCCACCAAAATGTGCTATGTGGTATTGGGGTAGGTATGGGTGACTAAAGAGAACTGTCTTCAGGACCTCCCACTGGGCCAGTGTTGGGCAACACTTCCAATAGGCCAAGTTGGCTCCTATATCTATCACAGCCTCTTCTGCTTTACTCCAAGGGCTTACTCTTGCATTCTTATCTGGCTTCCTTTTAAATCTCAGCTTGGTCACTTATTATCTGTGTGACCTTGGGCAAGTAACTTCATCTCTTTGGGTCTCAGTTTCCTTAGCCATAAAATGGGGATAATAACATCTGAATCACCTACTCTATTCTGCAGTTATAAGGCTCCAGTGAGTTAATGTGTGGGAAGCACATTACAGTCTAACCCATTATGTAAATCACTACTTCTATTATTCCAGTGCTTTGATGCACTTATCATGGAATAGTGTGTGTTGTAGTTATCCATGTTGGTGTCTTATCCCCAACGAGGCATGAGAGCACAGACCATGTTTGATCTAAACTTCCTTTCTCTCCTACTGCTTAGTATGTGTAATTCTACATATAGTAGGTAGTACAGTGGATGAAGTGCTGGACCTGCAGTCAGGAAAACTCATCTTCCTGAGTTCAAATCTGGCTGTGTATCTCTGGGCAAATCACTTAACCCTGTTTGCCTCAGCTTCCTTATCAGTAAAATGAGCTGGAGAAAGAAATGGCAAACCACTCCAGTATCTTTGCCAAGAAAATCCCAAATGGGATCATGAAGAGTTGGACATGACTGAAATGCCCAAATAATAACAACTCAGTATACCTTGAATTCATATGTTGTATTGGGTTTTGTTATGTTGTATTGTGTTGTAGTGTATTAAGGCCAGTCTTATTTATCTTTGGCTGTCAGTCAACCAAGAAACATAAGACCATAGCATTTAGTGCTTGAAGAGATGTTAAATCATGTAACCCAATCCTCTCATTGAACAGATGGAGAAACTGAGACCTGGAGAAGCAACAGAATTACTTCCTTTGACTTCAAATCCAGCATTCTACCCATGTTATTTCTCCTTCCAACTCCCAAATTTTATAGATGAAAAGACTGAGGCCTAGAGAGAAGTGGGAATATTACCCACAGTCACACAGCTAATCACTGTGAGATTAATAGGGCATGATCCCAGGTCTCCTGACCTGTATGTTAGTACTCTTTCCATGACACCAGGGTGACTTCTTCCAATACTACATCTCTCATCATTTCCACATTTAAACCCTCTGTCTATTTGGACTGAACCGGCACCCCTGTAACTGACCACGCTTTGTGATGATTAATCCCATGCTTTGGGGCTCCATTTTGCTGTCAAAAGTTAGAATGATATCTAATTTAGAAGCAAAGGTGTTAGCCTGAAGAAGGCCCTATTTCTTCTTTAGTTTACCTTCTTGCAAGGTGACTATGCTAGAATTATGCTATTCTCAGAGTATGGTGGAAACTGCCTTGTCTTGGGATGGGGATGAAGGGACTAAAATAATGACTAGCAAAACACCCCAGCCCTTATTCTCTCTGACATTTGTTTTCTTTAGGAAACCTGTGATTTTCTTCTTTTTTTCCTATACCATTTCACTAGGGCAGATTTTAGACACATCAAACAAGCATTTCCCTTCAAAGGACCATGCCTTCATTAACAGCAGCTCTGTTCAAAGACAGTAAGAAGACACATCAGGTTAACTTCTCCATAGAATTGCTTCTGGACCCACATCCTCAAAAACAAAGGAAAAAAATGACAGAAAAAAAAGGAAAACCAACCTTGAGGTTTCTTTAAACCTTGATCCCAAATTCTGCAAATTCAAATTCAATCCGATCCACCAAACATTTTTAAATTGTCTATTATATGCAACATACATGGTAGTAGGCCTTGTCCCATTGGTTGCTACACTCCTCCAATCTCTTGAAGGGAGAGATTTTTAGGATCTCTAAGCTCTCCTATTCTAAGTCTAGTCAGTATTTTTCCTCTGCTCTATTCCTCTGAAGAGATGGATGGGACCTTTTCCATCTAAAGACAACAGTGCTTAGTCCTACCTTGTCCTTTGGGGAAGGCTACACAACGGCTATCATCAGACTGAATTACAAGAAGATTTACTTCCCTCATTCTTTTTCTCCTTTAAACATTCTTTTTGCTCCTTTAGACATTCATTACACTATGGATGGCAGTGTTATTTTTTTTTCTTTACCTGGCGAAGCGAAGCATTGATTCTTTGACGTTATAGTCCGAATACGCACTGCATTCATAGAAAATCAAATCATTCTCCTAGACTCATGAAACAGAAGAAAAGGAGGAGTGCTTAGGGTGTAGTTTCTTAGAGAAAACATCAGGGATGAAAGCATTCTGCCACCCTTCATCCAGAATCCTGTACAGTCTTTATTAAGACTCACTAGCTCCTCCCCACAACTCCCTAACTCAGCTTCTCTCTATTTATAGCATATATCCTTCACATTCCCTGGTCCAGTGTGGGACAGTATCAGGCAGGATACTGGCAATTTACCATTATCATCATCATAATGATAATGCTACCTCTGTCCTATGGGAAGGGCTGCACAACTGCCCACATCAGACTGGGTCACAGCTAGGTTTGGTTGTTCCACATTCTTTATCTACTTTATGAAAAGGATTCATTATGCTACGGATTGTAGGGCAATTTTTTAAAAAAGGTATTTTTTTTGTCAATAAACTTTTATTTTTTTTTTATTTTATTTATTTTATTCTGAACTTAGGAAGTAAAAAAAAAGCATTTCCATAACATAGTAGAATAGAAAAAAAGATTATTGTATGTGAAACTGCAAATCTGTTATGTACAACTTGCTATTCCTTTTAAACATATAATAAATTTATCATCTAGCTAATTATTTTCCCCTTTTTTCTTCCCTCGCACCCCACTCCAGCCATTATAATGGCTACCATTATAATGACACAAATATGTCTGTATGTATGTGTGTATATGTATATATGTATACGTATATATGTAAAACCATTCTATACATACTTCTACTTATTAGTTCTTTCTCCGGATACAGATAGTGTCTTCTTTCATATGTCCTTTATAGTTAATTTGGGTATTTATAATAGGCAAAACGACTTATTTGCTCAAAGTTGTTTTTAAATCAATATTGCTATTACTGTATGCAATATTCTCTTGGTTCAGTTCATTTTGCTCTTCATTATTTCATGCAAGTGTATCCGTGTTTTTCTAAGATCATTGAACTCATCATTTTTTTATAGCACAATAGCATTCCATCACAATCATATACTACAACTTGTTCAGCCATTGCCCGATGGGCAATTTTTAAATTGTAGGACAATTTAAAAAGCATCAATGTGGTCCAGATTAACATCCTAGCTCTGTCACTTTCTAGCTATGTAACCTTGGCAAAAATTTTTACCTCTCTGAACCTTGGTTTTTACCCTTCTACAAAATAGAAACATTAATTCATACACTATTCATACCACAGAATGAATGAGAACCAAATGAAACAATGTATAAAAAAGTATTTGTAAGCAAAAAGCACTGTATAAAAGATAACATTACTACCACTAGTAATGTTTTCTTCAATGTAAAAAATTAAAAGGTTGGATCAGGTAACATATTCATAGAACTGAAAGGAAGCTTAGATTACGTCTTGTCCAACGTCCTCATTTCACGTATGACTTTCTCAAGATCATATAGCATATTAATGGTAGATTCAGAATTCAATCTCAGGTTGCCTGATTCCTAGGCCAGTGCTATCACTATGCCGAGCTGGTTTCTTTCTGCCCTCATCTTCTATGATTCTATAACAATAATGCCTGACATTGGTTTTAGGGCATTTTATTTGAAGGGGGGAGGCTGAGAGAATATATACTTTCTGCTGTTCAAATCCCTTTCACATCCATTATATTATTTTAAGCTAGCCAACTCCTTTCATTTTTTGGTTCGATGGCTCATTTGCCTAGCCTTTCTTTCAATCTGGCTATATGCTAGGATGATAGTTAATGACACAAATAGTAATTTCACAGGTACAGGGAACTCACCTGTCTCTTTCAATGTACTTAATCAGTCAATAAGGATTTTTAAACATCTCCTATCTGATAAGCATACCTGCTACTATGCTAAGCACTGAGAATACTAAGAAAGGCAAAAAGAAATAGTATCTTACAGAGCTCACAGACTAATGGGAGAGACAGTCATACACAAATTAGATATGGGATAAACTGGGAATAGTCTCAGAAGGAAGGCTAAACTAAGGAGGATGGGGAAAGGCTTCTTGTAGAAGGTGGAACTTTAGCTGAGACTTGAGGGAAGCCAGGAGCTAGAACGGAAGAGGGAGGGAGTTCCAAGCATGGGGGACAGTCAGTGAAAACAATCAGAGTTGGCGGATGAAACAGTGTGCCACAAGGTGGTAGGCCAGAGTTATTAGATTGAAGAGTACATGAAGGAGAGAAAGGAGTAAGAAGACAGAAAGTTAGGAAGTGCTTTAAGAGATAAACAAAGAAGTTTGGTTTTGATTTATTGAATGGGAGGTGATACTATACTTTGCTGGGGGGAGGGTGAATTGGAATAAGAAGAGATTTGAGGCAAGGAGACTAACCAGCTGGTTACTACCATAGCTCAGCATGATGTGAAGACAGTACAAATGGCCTACCTCTAGACTGGCTGCAGGGAGATGAATTTTGGGGTCACCGCATCTCTCAAAGACGATATACCAAGGTCTTTGTCAATCGATGGATTATTTATATTAACAGACCCTTAATGTTGGTAAAGATGGTATTGTGACACATAACAGAAGACTGACCATTGATACCAGTCCTGACAATCATGTACAGAAGCCACTGGCACAATTCCCAAGTGGAAGACTGGAGAGCCTGCTTCAGGAGAGTTACAATCATGTGTAATGGAGAGATTTAGAGCATGCTCAGATGTACTGTAACTGGGTTTGTGAAGAGGAGCCCTACCAACATTACTAGAATTGTGGGGAAGGGGGAGCCTCCTCATGTGAGGTATTCCTGCAGCTATGGAGATATCCCTTGGTTCTTGGTCTCAGCATTTGTTTTTCATTTGTTTTAGGTGGAAATTGTAGGCTACAACCTTGTGAGTTTCTACAGATAAGAAGGTTGAGTCACCCAAGGTCTAGGAGCCCTGGACAGAAGCCCAGGCTGGGTTTTTAGCCAGTCTAATATTGATACTCCCAAAGTGTGGCCTTTGGGACCTAGCTGAGACAAGGGCTCACCCCCACAGTGATGTTGCACTTGGATGGGAAATCCTAGAAACCAGGTTAAGTCTGAGATCTCTATCTAAGATAGAGACTAAGTTGTTATAGTGGACAGTATGCCCTCTAGGTGTTGGGGGAAATGTTTTCACTCCCATCTTGGTATATCTTTGAAGTACATACTGCTTTGTAAAAGCTAATCAGTAATAACTGGTTGAAAGGAACACACGGAGTGAGTCACTGGAGATTAGGTGGCCCACACTGGGACAGGTCACAAGCATTAGAGAAAGATACCACAACCCCTTACAGTTAACTCTAGACCCCTGAGGGGTTATGTAGCAGTATATTCAGGGATACTTCCCCTTGTATCAGGATACAGACAAAACCATTCTAAGCTTTCTCCCTAGTCCAGTGGGGACAACAACTTAGTCACAGGGTACATTTCATCCCGCCCCCCCCATACACTCCCTTTCCTTCTACCCCCAGAAGTGGCCAGTCTTTAACAGAATAAAAACTTCAGGATCTCATGGAATGGGTCTTCCTCCTGTGGTAACTCTATATATATGCGAGTCTGTGTGTCTGTTTGTCTCAAGTACGCTAATACAGAGAGAGAGAGAGAGAGAGAGAGAGAGAGAGAGAGAGAGAGAGAGAGAGAGAGAGAGAACCTGCTACAACCCCATACACATATCTAGGAAATAGCCTGGCAGAGCATTTTCCAAAAAACTTTTAGCTCCCTCCACTGACACCTTGCAATGCTAGACCTACCCTTCTTTTTGCCTCACTCCAGCTCTTCTTCCCTATCATATGTACCTTCCTGTAACCAAATGTTCACCCACTCCCACCTCAGCTCTGATCAACCCCCTATAGACACAAGACTGCCCAGAAAACCGCAGACAGGGAATAAAAACAGCCAAGGAATCGCTTCCCCCTTGGGGTCACTGGCTAGTTTTCATTAAGCCTGGTCTTATTTCACTGCTCTCTTAGGTTTGCAGGCTTATGCTTGTTTTCAAAGCACATTTGGTTTAGCAGTTCTTCCTGGGAATTGTCCCTCCATCTCATCCCTCTCATCTTACTTTCGAGCTACTGAAGGTTTGAGAGATTTCCTTCAATTACATGTAGCCTCTAATCAAGTTCTATTGATCACTTGTGACTTTCCCTAAGAGGAATCCTTTTCACGACTGACCCTAGTATGGGCAGAGGTATCTGCTCCTTACCTTAGCAAGACGTTCTCCATGTCCCTGGGGGACTTCTCTCTCTTTTTCATTGTCAACCTTATTGCCCAGAAGGAGGATGGGAATGTTCTCTCCCGCAGCTTCCTGTAGAACAGACAAGCCCCAGCTAGATCAAACCCAAGAGTAATAGAAAGCAGAGCCCAGAAGCTCTGACAAAGACTGGTTTCCAAGAGAGAACTGGGGCTGAGAATCCTCAGAAGTTTACACTCTTCTGCTACAGGAGAAGATGGGAAAGCCCTCTGCAGGGCTTGATGGTGCCAAGCATTTCCAAGATTCATTGACTTTAGAGTTAAATGTCCTAGCTGTCCTCCTTACTTGACCTTGGAGAAGTTACTTCCTTTCCCCAGACCTTAGTTTCCTCATTGGTAAAATAAGGTGGGATTAGTCTCAATGATTTCCATGGGTCACTCCTAGCTCTAATTCTTACCACAATCATTAGGTTTGTCAGTGGAAAACACACACACACACACACATACACACACACACATGTATGTATGCATGTATATGCATATATGTGTATGTGTACATACATATATGCATATGTATGTGCACATATACACATATGTAATTGGGTCAGTGCCATGCATACTCCCAGAGGGGTGTAGGTAGGTGTGCCTTTGGCTCAACATAACTTAGGGGCAGGGGGAAGGTAGGCAATGTAACCTAGGTAAAAACTTTCAGACAACAATACATGCTAAGGAAGAGCTTTGTATACCTTAAAGAGGTTAAATGTAACTTGTGTTTTTTTAAAAAAAAATAATTATCACAGTATTATATTGCTATTAATGTAGTATTATATAATATAATTATCATTATTCTATTTAAAAAGTTAATATAGGGTAATTATGCAATTCACTTCCATGATGGCCACCTTCCAATAAAGCTCCTATAGCTGGACTTTAGGACAGAATATCTGTGTATTCACTTCCCAAACCCACAAGACTCACCTCTACCCCAAGTTTGAAAAGTGGGCCTAGCAAGCTGAAATACAACGTGAGTAAAAATGATAATGTCCATATTTAATAACCCTAGGCAAGCTCTTATTTTTACTTTGTGAAAGATCTAATTAGCACTTTAATATTTATTTGACAACTTATGCTAATTCCTAGAGACTGAATTTAAAATTAAAAAGAAAAAACTATATAGAGGTGCTGCAGAGTCACAGAAGCTACAAAACCTAATAGTTTCATGGATTCTTTTAATAATCATCATAATTCCAAATAAACGGCTGAATCTCACCTAATAGTCATAATAATTTTAAGTTTAATTCACAATTATACATGAAGATTCTCAATGAACCCTTAATGGTTATATGCAACAATAGTCCATTTTGTTGAGTTTTAATAGTTTAAAATAATATACAACTTATTTACAGAATCGGGAGGTAGGGCTCAGAGAGACTGAGAATGGTTCCAAAAGGGTCTACAATAAAATACCGGATAGCACTATCTTCTACTAAGTACATGATGTCCCAAAAGTCAGCATAGCTTTAATAACCGAATCTTAAAACTGCAGTAAGATATTTGGAATTCTTTGTTTTTCCCCTGAGTTCTCATTCTTATAGCATAGTTACCTCTTCTTGCTATCTGGCACTCTATTAATCACAATGCTTCCATCTCAGGTAGTGCAATAATATGGTACAGCATTTATGAAAGTTCAGAGCTGGAAGGCATTTGAGTGATCAACAAAATTATGAAATTTAGGGTTGGACTCTCAGCAACCAAGCTATGTCCAAAAGGAATATTAACAACAACATTCTCAACAAGTAATTATCCAACCTAGATGCAATGTGGTATAGCGCAGAGGGCACTGGGTTTGGAGTCAGGAAAAACTGGGTCCAAATCCTTCTTCAGATCCATAATAGCTGTGTGACCCTTGGCAAGTCACTTAATTTCTGTGTACCTCAGTTTCCTTATCTGTAAAGCACGGGTGGTTGGACAAAATGGCTTCTGAGGTCCCCTCTAGTTTTAGATCTATGCCTATGTCCTTAAAGCTCTCCTATGGGCTTCATCAACTTCAAACATGAAGGTTTAAATATACATTAAAAATGAGAAGGAACCTTAGTGACCATCTACCAGCGGTGGGGAACCTTCAGCCTCCTGTGGCCTTGAGGCCACTGGTTCCCCACGCCTGATTAGTCCAACTCAGATCTTTAAAGAATTTCAGTAGGACATAACCAACAAGTAGGGAACCTACCACTTCTCAAATCAGCCTATTTCATTTTTTGGACAACTCTAATTACTACAAAGTTTATTCTGATATTGACCCTAAATTTGCCTCTTTGTAGCTTCTACCTGTTGTCCTCTGAGAGCAAACAGAACAAGGACAAGTCTGATCCTTCTTTCCAATGATAGCTCTTCAAATACTTAAAGACAGCTATCATTTCCTCCAATACCACCTCCATGGATTCTTTCCCCTAAGCTAAACATCCTCACTTCCTTCCAAGGCCCTTCACCCTCCTGGTTGCCCTCTGTCTTATCTTGTCCCTCCTGAATGTGGTAACCAGAAGTGACCATAATATTCTGGTATTGACCTAATCATGGCAGAATCCAGAGGAACTGTCACCTTCTTATTCCTGGCACTGATGTCTTTCCTAATGCAGCCCAATATCACATTAACTTTGGGAGCTACTACATCACACCACAAAAATTTAGCCTGCTTGCTACACTGGCTGAAATTATTAGCCTTAGTTTTTTGAGCTACCTAGTTACACCTCACCCCTAAACATCTGGCTAAAAACCTTGTATAGCCTCTAGTTACCTTTTAGTAACTTGACAGTTTACACCCAACTTCCTTTCTTTTTATTCTCAACAATTACACAGCCACACCCACTTTTTCTCCTCCTCCTCCCAACCTCCTATATCATCAACTTCCCTCATTCACCAAATGACTCTCCCAAATGACCCAACAATTCATTTCACTTCATCTCATCTTACTTATCTTGCTTTGCCAACTACCTTCTTAATCTCATCCTTCTTCACCCTTCTCTCACTGAAGCCAGAAGCAGAATCTGAAGCTGGAAATTGTTCTTTAAATTTTCATTGCTTTCTCCCAAGTTTGCACAAACCTCTCCCTCTGAAATTCAATCTTTGTTCCCACCCCCCAACAGGACCATATACTCTGAGTTCTACCCTCCTACCCACATTGAAATCATCAATACAGTTTCCTTTTCTTTCTTAAGTCTTTCTTTCTTAAGTCCTTTCTTTCTTTCAAGTCCTTATACTTCTCCCACAATGCACTCCCCATGGAAGCCACAAGCAAAAGATCAAGTTTTACTCTCTTATTTAATAGATGAGGAAACTGAGGCTCAGCAGGATTAAATTATTTGCCCACGGACACATATGAAGGGCAAAGCTAGGATTTGAACATAGGTCTTCTGAGCATAAGCTCTGTTCTCCTTCTACTACACAACATTGACTCCTTATACTTTGAACAATTTGCTCTTCAATATTGTATTTCTTACTTCCCTTCTCAATATCTCTGCCCTCTCATCTCTTGAGAGTTCATATTTCTATGGCACTTCAATGTTTGGAAAACATTTTTTTCATAAAAACCCCATGAGGGAGGTGGTGAAGTATTATTAGGTTAATTTTGCAGATGAAGAAATTAAGGCTCTGTCAGGTAAAGTTACTTGCCTTAATTGTTCTGGAATAATTAAGTATCAGAGGAAGGACATGTTGGATTTGGACAGCATAGGATTAGTTTATAGATTCTGCCACTGTGTGGCTCTGGACAAGTTATGTGACTTCTCTGGGTCTCAGTTTCCTCATGGTGTTGGACTAAATGATCTTTGAGGTCTCTTCCAGCTTCCATATCATTGACACCTTAGATCAGAGCCATAGTCCTACTAACCTAAGATTCTATCTCTGATCATGGCCCTAGTAGATGGTCTGTGAGGCGATAGTTTCGTTCCATTACACCAACCTCAAAACTAACGCATTCCCTCTTCCCTACCCACATACATACTTACCTACCTTCTCTACCCCACACCTCCCATTTCTCTTTTCCCTAAGGAAAATCTTATAGGTCCATCATTCATCAATTTACATATACCCTCCTTAAGCATATGCCTCTTTGAACATTTTAACTCATCCCAAGTCTTGGAGTAGTGAGTTCTCTAAGTCTGCTCTCTGTAGGGTGAATATAGCCCATAGAATGTTCTTTTAAGTACCATGTGGTGATCCCAGTTCTAGTCTTCTGTGATCTGTGATTTGATGAACAAGTCTCTATTTGCTCTTCCCATACCCTTTATAATATTATAGATTTCAAACAAATCCCTTGTCAGCCTTTGACTTTGCAGCCTGATGAGTCACAAAATCAGAGAATTTTGGTAGTTGGAAGAGACACCAGGGGTCATCTAATCCAACACTTATTCCTCTTTGATTTTCCTAAAAAGCAGTCAGGCACCCTCTGTTCAAATGCCACCAGGGACAGTAAGCACACTTCCTTATGGGGCAGCCCACTTTATTTTAAGACCAATATATCCTAAGGAAATGTTAGGAAGCAGTTCCTTATACTAAGCCAAAATCTAGGTTTTCACGGCTTAGAATGAGTGTAAATAGCAACTGTTTTCTGTTCTGACCAGAAACTCTAAAGGCCTTCCTCTCTCAGACTGATAATTTTTTGATGGTAAATTGGGCCACCTTTTGTCTCAATTCTTACCTAGCCCTTAGTCACTGAACGGGTGTACCCTCAGACAGACCAAGACCTAGGAAAAACCTTAATTTAGAAAGGCCTAGGTCACCCAGTGCCTCCTGGGCCATCATCAGTTGTCTTGACTGTTGTCTGGCCACTGTATTCTGATGACTCTGGAGGAGAGAGTGAGGCAGATGAGTTTGCACAGCTCTGCTTCACTTAAATCCAATTCACTCACAAGTCAAGACATCACCCTTGTGGTGTCCTTGGCCCTCTTCTAGAATGAAAGATCAACAACAACAACAACAACAAACATCTCCCTTTTTAAACAGTCGTACAGATTCTCTTTAGCAAACCTGGATACTAATCCAGGCTCTTCTGATAACTAGCCATGAGATCTTGGGCAAGTTCCTTCTCATTGGGTCTCAGCTTCCTCTTTAATAAAATAA